AAGTAACACAGACGCATTAATAAGCATTTTTGTATATAAAAGAGAGTCGAGCGTAGTCCTCACAAACACGGGATTGGGATCAGGAAGACTTGAGACTGGGGCTAACCTGAGTTTAGGTGAAAACCTAGACTTTGTGATGGTTTCCTTCACGTTCCAATGGGAGCCACCATGGTGCCCACCACGTGAAATGTGTGAGAGTATTTGATGAGGGAACTCGTAAGGAGCCTGTGGGAGACACACCATCAATATTAGCTGAGTGATTAGTCAACACAAATGTCCTCAACCTCAAATCATTTCCAAAACATTCCTTCCATCTTTTCTTCTGTGTCTGGTGTTACTGCTTCTTTGGTTTTATGACTCCTCAGCTGTGTGTTTCCTTGTCTGATGGTCTTGTCCTTCTGCCCCCACAGGACAACGGGACTGTCACTTGGCTTGGAGTGGGCTGGAGTGAGAGGTGAGTACCTTCTCTTAACTAGCAGCTGGCAGAGCCTGTCAGACAGGGAAACACAGTGGATTGACTCCGTCTGGCACTTGCGGCCTTCCTTCCCTGAAAGAATCACCGGAGGCGGAGCCCCTTGCTGCTCCCTGTTGCTCAGATGGCTCACTTTCAACCCCACAATTTGTTTTCTCTTCCCCAAGGGAGAAGCAACAAATCCTTCCAGCTGGACACAGACTGGTGATCTAAAGGGGAAACTCTGAGATCCCACTGCTGACACCATGACCTCAGAAGCTGACAGGATCTGCCCAGGTAGTCAGCTTCCTCCTCTCTAACTGGTTCCTGCTTATGATCTAGAATTGAGGGAAGCATCCCCAGGTTGGGTTAAGTTACACAGGAACCAAGAACCTCCAAGGGGATTGATGAGTGTCCTCAAACCCCTGGAGGGACCAATGGCAGGCCCCTCAACCAGGAGTCTGTGGGAGGGCATCGTTCCTGGCTCTCTTCTCAGGCACTCATTGCCTCCCATCCTTTGCAACTCATGCAATGTCTCCAATGAGGCCAGGACAGCCCATGGGAGGTGGGAATTTCTTGTCCCCTGTACCTGGAACCTGCTAGTTCCTGGTGGAAACTTTCCCCTCTAAATACTGCCACCCCCCACAGCTGTGCTGGGTCCCTGACCTGTGCTCCCAATTATAAACACCTGCGTACCAGGTGTGACTGTCAGGCAGGAACTTCTTCTGTTGATCTCAGATACCCCTGTGGAGGCCCACTTTGTTATTTCCCACACCCACCCACAGCCTGGCCCACAAATACACAGATGCAGTGCTCTGGGTTTCTCCATCTCAACCCAGATTTACTTTCTCCCTCAGGGGGTGAAGCAGGAAAAGGAGAAAACATCCCTCCACCCACCCAAATCAACACTGCATTGCCTAGGCAACCAAATTCCCGCCCCCCACCCCATACACACACACACATACAGACACACAGGAGAGGAAAATACTTCTTCAGGTTGCAGCATAAGGGAAGAGAGGACAGATCAGAAACCAGCAGCTCCTGAGCAGGCTCCGGGTTCCCTGAGGGAGGGCTGTAGCTGGTTCATTCCTGAGGATAAACAAGATGATCTCTTGCCCTGGCTGGTTTGGCTCAATGGATGAAGTGTCGACCTGCGGACTGAAGGTTCTCAGGTTTGATTCCAGTCAAGGGCACATATCCTGGTTGGGGGCTCTATTCCTAGTAGGGGGCATGCATGAGGTGGCCAAACAATATGAGTCTCCCTCATCATTGTTTCTACTGTCTCTCTCTCTCCCTCTCCCTCCCTCTCTGAAATCAATACAAATATATATATATTTTTAAAAAGAATGTGAGAAGACAATCTACAGAATTGAAGAAAATCTTGAAAGGCAAAGAAAATTATCTCTTGTTTAGAGTGGGCCCACATGGGGTCAGA